CACGCGGTCCAGCTTGAGGAAAGCAACATGTGGGATATTTTCCCATTTTGAAATCGTCGCGGCTCCTTCGGGGAGCTCTGCTTGGTAAGATCTGCATATTGGTACGAAGGCCCTTGATTATCAGAAGGGCTTCCTTCAGGACTTTTCCGATGTCGATCGGTTGCGGCAGTGGCAGACAGCGAGCTCCCACTATTGTCGTGCAGCCTTGGAGCTTGGTTCAGATTGCGGGTCGTATCGAACGCTATTGCGACAACTGGAGGAGGTACCGAAATTTGGGCATCGATTGTCGGCGGTTATGTTGATGCGTGCTGTTGGGGGCTCGTGGCCGCGGGCTCGGAAGAAGGAACAGTTGGCGGGATTCCAGGGCCCCGAACTATGTCAGCGATGCCACCAGTTTCTGGAGACTCTACTCCATCGGCGCTGGACGTGCGATGCCAATACAAATAATATGGCTTACGATCGCACGAATGACCTTATCACATGAGCTGCATCTCGATCCGATATGGACCCCGAGTTTGGGTTGCGTGGCATGATTCCCAGCGGCTGGACCGAAGTGCCTGCCCCACCTGAGATAGAGGACTGGACTGTTTCGGGAACCAATGAGGCTTGCGCGTTAGGGTTTTTTGGTCAGGGGAACCCTTGTGGCCCCGCTGATCCTGTTTGGGGACGCCTCGGGCGGATCTGATGCGGTAGGCTGGCACGGTAGGAAGCGGCGGGCCCTTTTCAGTGAAGATGCCGATGTGGGCGGCGCAAGGCGAGACGCTCCGCGCCCAGAGTCGTTGCCCAGAAAAGATCACTGTCCTCTTTGTAAATTCTCATCCGGATGAGATTGCGACCGCGTGGCTCATCACAGGTAATTCGTGTGCCGAAGTCGTCGCGAGTGTTGCCGCCCGCCAAGCACGCCTGCCTGAGCATATCCGCCAGAGTGTCCTCATGCATGAACGTCGTGCGTTTCTTGTTAGGATGAGGATCCTCCGTGCGTCGCCACATGCTCTTAATGTCGAGGCGGGTGTTGTCGAAGAAAAAAGGTCATGGTGTGAAACGTTGCCGGGGTCCTACTGCTGCTTCTCTCTCCCTCTTTTCGTCCTTTCATTGTCTGGGTGTCACGGGAAGGGCTTCTCGTAGGTGAGGAGGGTCGGCGTCAAAGGCCACGACCAACGAGCTTCTTAACACTCCATGTTTCCAGCCGGTTAACTATGACGGGTCCATCTTATAGAAGCCCTCCCACGCTAAACTTCATGTTGCGGGGGGGGGGGGGGGGGGACCAGTCCCACGCCATGCTGTTTTCGTCCACATTACGCCTATGGTACTGCAGAGCGCGTGGATGCTATGCTTCTGCGGTGCTCCGAAAGTTGGGCAAAGTCTGTACCGACAGGGTCACTCCCAATAGGGCAGAATACTAGAGCCGAGTTTCGCGCGGTCTCGAACCCAGGGTTCTGAGCGCAGCCGAGAAGCGTCGGAGAGGTAGGGTCTAATGCTCTACAGTTGTGTTTCCTGGTGTCTCACGCGTGGTTAGGCATGGATTGACATTGTCACATGGTCATATGCATAGTCATATTCGTTATCCTTCTCCTCCTCCTCCTCCTCCACTCCTTTTCCTCAGACGCAATTCCTCCTTGTCGCGTTTTGGGGCAGGTCGAAAAGGCGGGGTGGGCGTTTCGCGCGAGACTTCTTCACCATTTAGGATAATGGATAGTGAAGCGTAACTTTGCAGCAGTTTCGCGGACGAAGGGCGGGTGGTTTCCAAACTGCGGTTATCGCTTCAGCGCCGTGCACATTCGTCTTAAACATTGCAAGAGTTGCACGGATGAAGGGCGTGTTGTTTCAACATGTGCCTCTAGCCCCAGCGTCGCTCATATTCGTCTACAGCGTTTGCACGAGCTCCACGGATTGAGTTTAACATGTGGCTCTCGCTTGAGCGCTGCGCACAACTGGTTACATGTTTGCAATAGGTTCACGGGTGGAGGACGATTCCGTTTCAAAATGTGGTTTTCGTTTTAGCGCCACCCAAATTCATTTCAAGAGTCTGCAGCAGTTTGAAGTGCTCTCATTATCAACGTCCCAGAAATGGTGTTTCGGCACGATGTCGGAATGTTAGGGCGCACCAGTCACGTTGATTCGCGGTGTTCAAGTCCCAGGATAATGGTGCTCTGGCGCAGTTCAGGACCGCCAAGACGCAACAGTAACGGTGATTCGCGGTGTTGAAGTCCCAGGAATGGTATTGTGGCGCAGCTTCGGCTTTCAAAAGGTTGTTTTCCAACGGGGCACTTCCCTCAGTGAAAATGAATCCTTGTCGGGGCCAATGAAATGGAAATTTGGAGGGAGGGTTTACTGCAATATCATTCGTGGGCCTTGGGTGTAACTACATTGGTCCTCCTGCTCCTCCTCCTCCTCCTCGTTTTCCTCCTCCCTCCTCCTCCTCCTCCTCCTCCTCGTCCTCCTCGTCCTCCTCCTCCTCCTCCTCCTCCTCCTCCTCCTCCTCCTCCTCCTCCTCCTCCCCCTCCTCCTCCCCCTCCTCCTCCCCCTCCTCCTCCTCCTCCTCCTCCTCCTCCTCCTCCTCCTCACCTCCCCTCGTCCCCAAGGTGTGGGGCGCCGCGCTCGCCATGGAGGCCGTCCTGCTGTGCCTCCTCTGCCGCGGCGTCCTCGCCGTTTGCCGGCAGGCTGGTGGCGGGGGGCCCTTTTCCGCCGACCGCGGCAACTCAAGGGGAGGGGGGCTCTTCTTCCTCCTCCTTCTCCTCCCTCCTCTTCCTACTCCCTGCTGTTTTTCCCTCCCCCCTCCTCCTCATCCTCCTCCTCCTCCTCCTCGTCCTCTTCTTCCTCCTCCTCCTCCTCCACTTCCTCCTTCTCCTCCTCCTCCTCCTCCTCCTCCTCCTCCTCCTCCTCTTCCTTCGGTTCCTGATCTTCCGCCTCTCCCTCATCCTCCTCCTCCTCCTCTTCTTCCTTCGGTTCCTGATCTTCCGCCTCTCCCTCATCCTCCTCCTCCTCCTCCTCCTCCTCTTCCTCCTTCTCCTCCTCCTCCTCTTCTTTCTCCTCCTCCTTCTCCTCCCCCTCCAGTTGATGTGTAGATGTCCTCCCGAGATAAGGGAGGGGAATCATGAGTGCCTAGCATGTAGCGAGGTATGTATATGACAGAGCGGCGTGATCGCCGCTTTGGCTCAAGCCATTCAGTGAGTAGCCTCACGCGAGTGCGAATCCTGTTTGCGGCGGCCAGCCCCTCTTTCCCCATCATTCCATATCAGATAATCCAGATTATCAGCATCACGACGATCCTCGTGGTCCTCTCCCTCTTCGTGGCCCTCAGGGCCAACAGGGCTCTCAGGACCGGCACGCTGGGTGTGCCAGTATCACCTCTGTCGGCGGACGCGCTGACAGACTACGACGGCGGCGAACCTCTGGAGGCGTTGACCCAGGAGGAGGAGCGAGAGGAAAACAACTTGGTAGCGGAGCAGGTGCGATCCTGTGCCTGCTCCCAGGACAAGATACCACTGCGCTACTACGACCACGTCATGGCGAACGCCCCGCAGATGACAGGTGGCATACCAGCTGGACCTCAGATCGTGCAGTCAAATACGAAGACGCCACCGAGCTGGGACCCCGCAAGGGAGTCCTCATATCCAATCCGTGATTGGATCACGGACATCCGCATGTGGGAAGCTATGACAGATATACCGGCACGTTCGATCGCTCCGGCCGTGGTCTTGCAGCTATCAGGATTGGCCAGAGAGATATCGAGAGAAGTGCCGCCAGATCAACTACAAGACGGAGTCTACATGGACCTCCGTGATGGAGCTGGACATCGATGGTGTTCGGGGCTGGACCTATTGATTCACGGGCTGCGACGCAAGTTCATGCCACTGGAGGCGGAGACCGCTATCGCGAGCATGACAGACCTGGTTGCGTTTCGCCGACGGCCAGGCGAACCGATTGACCAAGCTTTGGCTCGATTCGATTTCCTGAAGTTCAAGGCTGAGCATCTGGGAAATTTCCACATGGGAATTCCGAACTTGGCTTGGATGTTACTCAATGCTCTTGGTATTCCACCGCCACAGTGGGCTCAGTTTCTGGCACCTACGGGAGGTAACTTACCGACGAACGAACAGGAGCTTTCAAGTCTTACCACCTTTACCAGACGTCAGAATCATCTCTACGAGCGAAGTGGACTCGCGCAGGCAGGTCATCAATCCAGGCATCAGCATTTCACGAACCCCACAGGCTCCGGTGACGGCTTCTACTTCACGGACAATTCACAGGACACTGGCACCCAAGTGGGAGTACCACCGCCACCGATGCCCTACTACCCCAGCGCATCATCCTCGTCGAGGCCATGTGGACCGCTCGGCGGAGTTGCTGGGGTATCGAATGGATCAAATACTGAAGGATGCTGGTGCAGCAATTGCCACAAGATATTCTACGACCTGGAAGACCCTGACTCCACCGAGACGAGCGATGATGACGGTAACGATTTGGCGGAGTCGACCTTCCACATCAGTGCCCAGATGAGCGACAGCGATCTGTATGAAGTATACGCTTTGGCCAAGAAGCACTGGAGGAGGCGAGCGGACAGACTTCCATGGCGTCGTAGATACAAAGGCAAAGGCAAGGGCAAGAAAGGGGTCAGATTTCAGAGAAATAGCGGATGGTCTTTTCTTTCTGAAGCAGGAGACGGAGCTCTTTGCCCCGGGTGCACGTGGAACACCCATGAATACTACAAGGGCAAGGGCAAGGGCGAGAAGACCAACCCGAGGGGCGCGAACGGACAGCCACTTCGATGCGATCACTGCATCAGCGAGAAGCACCTATGGAGGAAATGCGACGCTCCGGGAGCTGACGACTACCGACGGAAACGGGCTACCCCATGAGGAAAGGGTTATGTGACGACAGAGGGGAATATGAGTACAGGAGGAGCCCAACCAGCTTCAAGCGTCTCCAGCGCTTTGCAGCACTGGCAGCAGCTCACGGGCCAACCGGCAGCGTCTACGGCGACCAGACACTTCTTTGCCATGCCGAGCAACATGGAGTCGCAAGTGGACGTGTCCAAGGATGACGAGAAGGAGTACGAGGACAGCTACTACCCGGACGTGGAGGAGGAGGGCTCGCGCCTGTGCGAGTCGCATGCACGGCCAGACCTTCAAGAGGGGGCCCGCCGTGACTGTGCTTCATCCGCGTCCTGGGATTTGCTCTCGACTCCCTCGGAGTTCGTGGACATCGGCAACGAGACGATTCAGATGATTGAACAGGCGAAGGCTCGGATCATGGATGACCCGGACCCAGAGGCAACTCTTGGCGAACCTCGGCCCAACAGCGAGCAGATCGACTCAGGAACCGAGCCCGCTGGATTGAAGTGGTTTGTGGGACCGGTGTTCGGGCGATACGATGAGGCACGCCAGGTATTTCTAGAGGCGACCCGAATCGATGGTAAGGAGTGCCTATTGATAGATCCAGGTGCGTATGACAATTTGGTGGGTGACAGATGGGTTATGCGAGTGGGAGCTCTGGCAAAACGGGCATGTTTGGAACCGACGCAACATCTGATGGATCAATCGATCGGGGTTGAAGAAGTCGGTACCAATGCTCAGATCGCCAAGGAGGAGGTGACGATGCCAGGCGCAGCCAAGGACGAGCGAGGCAAGGTGCATCAGATAAGCTACAAGGCCCCAGTGGTTCCTGATTCAGATATTCCCGCTCTCTGGGGAAAGCGTAGTCTGAAGCACAACAGAGCGGTGGTCGACGTGATCAACAACAAATTGTACCTGTGTGGCCCTGGAAGAGTACAGTTCACGCCACCGCCGGGGACGCTCACCTTCAATCTTGAGGACTCGCGGCCAGGACATTTGCTGTTGCCTATCTCGCATTTCTTCGGCAACGGTAAGGATAAGAAGGTGCGCGCGAAGCAGGAGCCAGCCACTTGGCATGCAAGTGCGCCCGCAGTCACCCGGCCCATGGTCAAAGATAAGGCGAAGGAGGACGAGGCAGACACGCCGACGCATGAGCCGACACCGGCCACCTCCTCGGCGCCTGCGGTGCACTGAGGGTGCGGACCGCCGCTACCAAGCGGCGGCGGTGCCGCAGGAAATCATATAGCTTGGCATCTGGACGTCCCCGAGCAGGACCCAGAGATCATAGTGATAGACGAGGACAATGGCCATCCGATCCGCACGAAGCTGCTGAGTCAGGCCAACATCACCTACACCCGCCTAAGTCTTCTGCACACCTCGACCATGGAGCATATTCTCCGACTCTTGGAGCGAGGGAAGTGCCGAGGCGTTTGGATGCGACTGCATTCCCTCGTACCGGACGTTACGAGACGACAAGGGAAGACACGAAAGCAAAAGCAAAGATTGATGGCGACCTCCATACTCATCGCGCGCTTGATTCAGCTTCGGTGCGTGCTGGTGGTCGATTCTCAAGCTACGAATGAAGCCTGGCAGGACGATGATATTCTCAGAGCGACGGCAACGACCCTGCCAGGATATCGGATGACAGATCATCGATGGTGCAGTTACCTGACGTCGGGCAAGGACATGGCCCCGACGACCAGCCAGAGATTCTTTTCCAACCTGGACGTGCTTCCCGACTCGTGCAGCTGCGGCCGGAAGAGCTCAGATCACCGCAGATCGACAGGGTTGGAACACGTTCAGCTTGAAGGTCAGTTTCTGACCGTCTTCTGGCAGAACCGACTTCGAGACGAGCTATCCGATGCGGTTCGAGGAGAAGTACGTGACGACAATGACACGGAACGAGATACACGATATCCGCAGACGGGGCCGGACGAGCCCGTTGACTCACACATGGTGGTGACGAAGTCGAAGACGGTCAGCTTCTATCCGACCGACTCTGCCAAGGCCTACAAGGAGAAGCTGAAGTCCCGGAAGGCCGAGGGACACGAACCGAAGAAGAAGGTCAAGCGGATTCTGGATCCCGAAGTCATGGATGACTGTGGCGAGGACCTCGGAGAGCTCAACTATCTATGGAACGAGGAGGTGTGCTGGTGGGAGATGCCGGGCAACGAGGTGGAGGATTACTATCTGGAACCTAGCGAGTTCAAGACGGATGATATCGTCGGAAGACTTCGAGACGACCGTCCGCCAGATCGAGAACGACACTTCCTCGGCATCCCTTCGGGTCGATCCTTCCTGAATCACACGAAGCAGACCGAGAATAGTTTCTTCGTTGATGTGGCCGAAATCATGGGAGGAGAAGGACGCACAATTCAACTACTCGTTCGACGACATTACGCGGGAGGTCGTAACTTTGATGCTCTCATGGGCGTCGATCTCCTTCAGCGTGACGAGGAAATGGAGCTTTACCAGTATCTGAAGGAGGAGCGACCCTTTGTGTTGGTGATGGCTCCTCAATGTACTGGCACAGCTGGATGGTGCACGGTCAACGAGTCGATCGGCAGCGAGGTGCACCGTCGCAATGCGGAGGTCTCTTTCAGGCTAGGACAGATTTGTGCGAAGGCGGCTCACATTCAGCTAGACGGAGGACGCCACTACGTGAATGAGTTGCCGAGGGGAAGCCGTACTTATCGAACTCCAGAATGGATGGGCTTGGCCAGGAAGAATCTCACATGGGTTCAGCTCAACATGTGTATGATGGGGCTCGTCAACTCGAAGAAGGAGCCTTTGAATAAGCCGGAGGAGGTATGGGCGAGTCACGAGGTGCTGATCTATCGGCTGCGTTCTAAGGAGTGTGATCGACGGCGTCGGCATGGGGAATGCTCTGGACGTGACACCAAGCCTCCACAGGTGTGGACATGGCAATTCGCTCGTATCTTGGCCGACGGCATTTCAGAGTTGATATGGCTTCACGAATTGGACTTGAGGAAGCTGATCTACCCAACTGTGGCGGCGTACCCAAGGATAAATGGAGAGGGAGTGCCCGCTCCTCTTGACCATCCTCCACCTGGACTACCAGCCCCAGCAGCAGCAGCGGCAGCGGCAGCAGATGCACCTCCGCCATCACCCGCACCCGAAGAAGTACTGGATCCGCGCGCTCGTAGGGCAGCGATCGGACCTCATCTCTGTCCAGGATGTCGGAGAAATCGAGTCAGCACTCATCCCTCGCACAACCGCATACCTGGACAGTGTCGGCATCCGCTGGTACAGCCGCTGGAGTACAACTGCCCCGCATGCAGAACGGGTCGGGATCGGTATGGTCCCCGCCACACTTACGATACTGACTGTCGCCTCCTCATGGACGAGCCCAGGCTGATTGGGACGAGAAGATCGGGATCAGCTCATGCGCGGGATCCGCGAGTACCGGCAGCACGAGCTGCGGGTGCGGGTCATCGAGTACATCCCCGAGCAGGAGAAGAAGAGGAGGACGTAACACCGCATCCTGAAGCCGGACCCTCAGGTGCTGCTCCTGCCGCCGCCGGGGAAGGAGATGATGACGTACGACCTCATCCTGAAGCTGGACCCTCGGGAGCGGCCCCGGCTGCAGCAGCGGGGGAAGCCATTATTCCTGTTGGAGAACCGGGACATCCGGCCCGGGCAAGCGGAGACGAGGTGGCACTGAGAAGACGCAGATTTCAAGATGCTATGGCCCAGATCGACACAGGAGCGGACTGGACGCAATGGGACATGGGACGTGCTATTCAGGGGCTGAGATCAGCGGTTCCTGGGATGGTACAACGTACTCTACGTCGCATGCGTATACGACTATGGCACGCTCCAGCCCAACGACTACGAGACCTGCTTTCGGCTGCGGGTCTACCACGAGAAGTGATATGGTGCAGGACGTCGTGTGCACTTGCACCGTCTGTCGGGAATGGCAGCGACGAGGCGAAAAGTCGGTGACAAGTTTGACGTTTACCACGACCTTCAATGAAGGGATTCAGTTTGATCTGCTCTTCCTGGACGACGGCATCGTGGTGCACTTGATCGACATGTGTATCAGGTGGGCTCAAGGGCTCTTTGTGAAGTCAAAGGAGCCGGGTGATGTTCTCCCGGCCATCACTCATATCTGGTTTCGAGTCCACGGTCCTCCGAAGTTCATTACCTCGGATCAGGAGGGAGCATTGTTCTCGGACGAAGGAGCTATCTGGGCAGATCGATGGAAGGTGGATTTGCGGCCGAAGCCCAAAGGAGCACATGCTCATGTTATTGAAAGGAGGAATGACTTACTACGGACACAGTATCACCGAGTTCGAAGTCAAGCAAATGAAGAAGCCATTAGAGTTTCTAAAGAAGAGCTGCTGGACGAATCCTTGTTGGCCATGAACGCCCTCTTGAGCGTTCACGGGGCCGCACCATGTGCGGCTTTGTATGGTCGGGTTCCGAACATTCTACTGGAGCTCGGAGGGGGAGGATCCGAGTTCGACGACGAGTCTGGAGGCGCCGTGTCTCGTCATGTTCATCGAGTCAGGGAGCTGGCTCTCGCCAACATCGTGCAGGGCAACGCGCAGGAAAGACGGAAGATAGCAGCTCGAACGCGAACGAGACCAGCGGCTCAGCTCGGAGATCTTCGTGTAGGAGACTCGGTCGACATATTCAGGGACCCGCCGAACAAGGATGTCACCGGCTGGCGAGGACCCTGCAAGGTAGTTTCCATGGACCGAGCTGACGAGGGCATCATCGATGTCCGATGGCAGGGTCGCACGCTACCGTGCCGCCCAGCAGATGTTCGAAGGGCAGTGACATGGTGGACTCTCATGGCGGCTCCTGGCCGCGGTGACACCAAGCCGTACCAGATCTTAGTATACTACGTGGAGAACATGGCGGCGGGCACTACGTTACTCCTGGGATATGAGGTCGGCGAAGATGGACACTGGAGGATGACGAAGACCAGCCGTCGGCTGCCTACTCTGACGACAGCAGCTTTCCACGCGGCCGCCTGCGACTTTCAATTATATGGAGTCGTGGCCACGAGACTAGGGTACGGTTCGCGAGAAATTCCAGCTGCCCGAGGACATCACACGTGCATGATCGTATGGTGGCTTCCAGGAGAATCGATTGGCTATCACCATGCAAGTTTCGATCCTCGAGCGAAGGCGAGTACGCAACACCTGATGGGGCCAGGCTTTGGACGCGCGTGCTGGGTGCAGTTTCTAATGGTGGAAATTTCTACGGCCGAGGTCTTGCGACAGATTGACGTTCACGTACCACATGTTGGAGGTCCTCAACAGATGCCCGACTTTCCAGCACCACGCGGTCAAGTGCGACCTCGTGATCTTCATGATGTGGGAGAACGACCGGATCGATGGCATCGCTGGCCCACTCCAGAGGCCACCATCGACGAGGAGTCGGAGGCATCTGAACCCCAGGCTCAAGGGGTGGCTCATCCACGAGATGCGGAGGCGGACCCTGGACTGCTAAGGCCGACGTGGCGACCATTTCAACAGCCCTATCGGATAGAGCCAGACGCCAACTCAGATGTGCAGGACCTGTGGCTGGAACCCTGGGATCCCGGATGGATGCAACACGTGAGGACAGAGTTCAGCTTCTTTCACGCTATCCTTGACAGCCAATCACCACCGGACGCTGAGTATTGGTTGGATTCTCGAGTGTGGGAAGCTGTCGAGGTGGCTACTTATCTTGAGAATACAGAGAAGGAGATGCAACTTCTGGAGGTGGAGTTCGAATCCGAGATCTCCAGGCTTGTGATCCTGACCACCGATGAACACAAGTTGCCTAAGTCTGAGATCTTCTCTCTTTTTGCGAACAACGGGGGCCATCGTGTGATTTTGTCCGTCAACTCGACGGGGAAGACCAAGATGGTTATTGAACGAGAGGCTGACGAACTCAACAAGGATGACCTGATCAAGCATCGAGTGGAAGTGGAAAAGGCTATGTCGAAGGAGCTAGGCAACTGTATTGAATTGGGTGCGCTCAAGCAACGAAGCAGGCTAGGGTGCACCAACTTGATGGACTCTCGATGGGTGATCCGTTGGAAGAAGCAGCCAGACGGTAAGTTGGCAGTCAAAGCGCGACTGTGCATCAAGGGCTTCAAAGATCTACAGCAGGATCGTCTGGATACCTTCAGTGCGACCGCCTCGAGGCAAAGTCAGAGGATAGTTAATTTCATCGCGGCAAGTCGCCCCAAGTGGGTGTTGTGGTCTTGCGATGTCGGCAGCGCCTTTCTGAAGGGACTTACATTTCAAGATGTAGCAGATATGACAGGGGAGCCCCTCAGAACTGTTCAGTTGGACCTGCCCAAGGACACGGTGAAGATCGCAAGGCAGTTTGAACCATTATCTAACTATGATGTGAGTCAGCACTGCTTAGAGATGGTACGTCCAGGTTTCGGTCTCAAGGATGCGCCAAGGTTATGGAATCTTAGGCTAAAGCAGGTAATGACGAAGCTTCAACTCTTGCCGTTGGTGACCGATTCACAATTCTACTGCAAGTGGGCTGGCTCTCGATGTGAACCTGTACCTCGCGAGCTGGTACCCATGAACGCGGGCGAGGACAAGGCCCGAGGCGCAGACGTGTCATTCACCGACCCGGAGATAGCGATCGAGGACTTGCAGATGGTGTGCAGTACACACGTGGACGACCTCAAGGGCGCCTCGACCGAACCGATTGCTGACGCCTTTATGGATGCTCTCGAGTCGGAGTTCGGGAAGCTCACAAGGCAAAAGAGAAGGTTCGAGCACTGTGGCGTTGTTCATGATCAGCACGAAGACGGATCTGCGCGGTGCTCTCAGGATCATTACGCGGCTCAACTTCGGCCGATGCAGGTAGACAAGATTCGAGCTGATGACGAAGCCCTCGATTCTCAAGACCGAACCTCATTTTGGTCACTCTTGGGTGGAGCAGCCTGGATGTTAGTCACGCGAGCAGATGTTGCAGTCCACATTGGATACCTACAACGCCACGCTCACGAACCTTGCTGGGAACATGTTCGACACTTGAACTCAGTTGTACGATGGATCAAGAGAAAGAAGAGTTCGCTTGTCTACTATTCAGTACCTCTACCATGGAGTGTTGGGGGCTTCTCCGACAGTGCTTTCCGGGCGACCGAGCCGGACTGTCTGGCCGTGAGAGCGGCAGTTATTGCGATTGCTGGTCGGGACTTCATGCCGAAAGGAGGACTGCGTGCGGCAGTGGAGTTCTACTCACGAAAGCAACCCCGAGTATGTCGTTCTACTTTCTCGGCGGAGCTGGCAAGCGTGGATGATGGTATCAGCAATGCACTGTTGACGCAAGTGATGGTGTGTGAGATCGTTCACGGTCCCTTGACGGCGAAACAAATTCAGCGATGTATGGATACGGGAAGGCTACCAGTTGGTTTGCATGTGCGCACGGACAACAGGGGCCTGTTCACGGCGCTGGGTGCAACAGAACTGCAGTCACCAGCGGAACCTCATCTTTTATATTTACTGCGCGCTCTACGCGATAGACTTGAAGCAGGTACCCTCTACAAACTCTGGTGGGTGGACACTAGAGCCATGATCAGCGACGCGTTGACCAAGGGTGGACTGGCTCCAGAACCTATCCTGAAGTTGTGGGAGACGGCAGTGTTGATGATAACCGGAGATGAACCCCTGGCTCTGTGCTTGCGGGGTCCTCACAAAGATACCAGTGAGTGGGAAGATCAGTGAATCGGGATCTTTGCGTATTTTGATGGATTACAGGATCGTCTGCGACGATTGGTCGACTGTATCTGCGGGGAAAAGATTTCCCCATTCTTTCGGGTCTACGCTGTGGTGGACCGTATATGTGGCTTGCGCGAGATGTATTGTTTCTCGCTATATATTTCTTTCTTCAATCGTTGCTATTTTTTGTCTATGGCAGTATACAGCGATTTTATCTGCTACTGTGGTATTGGCAGTAGCCTCCGAGGTGTTCTTTGTGAGTTTATTTCAGCCGTCTTTCCCTTTTTAGCCTCTGGAGTCCCCGTGTTGTGTTCAGGGTGCTCCAACATAGAGCGTTGTATTTTTTTGGTGGCTTGCCTATCAGAGGTCGGTTGCCAGTGGCGGGCCTGCCGCAAGAAATGATCTGCTGTGCTCTCACTGCGTGTTTGTGGGATCAGCTCGTAGACTTTCGCTGCGTTTTCCCACCCCGAGTTGATGTGTAGATGTCCTCCCGAGATAAGGGAGGGGAAGCATGAGTGCCCAGCATGTAGCGAGGTATGTATATGACAGAGCGGCGTGATCGCCGCTTTGGCTCAAGCCATTCAGTGAGTAGCCTCACGCGAGTGCGAATCCTGTTTGCGGCGGCCAGCCCCTCTTTCCCCATCATTCCATATCAGATAATCCAGATTATCAGCATCACGACGATCCTCGTGGTCCTCTCCCTCTTCGTGGCCCTCAGGGCCAACAGGGCTCTCAGGACCGGCACGCTGGGCGTGCCAGTATCACCTCTGTCGGCGGACGCGCTGACAGACTACGACGGCGGCGAACCTCTGGAGGCGTTGACCCTGGAGGAGGAGCGAGAGGAAAACAACTCCTCCTCCACCTCACGCGTTGCGCGTAGGGGCCGCGGCGTGTCCCATCGAGAGGTGGATGATGGCGTTCCCGGACACGGACGAGGACGTTCGGCGCCCGGCCGTCGCGGTCTACGTGGTCTACCTGTTTACCCACCATGTTCGGCACAACAGGGGGGTAGCGCAGGAGTACATCTGCCATTGCATGAACCAGCTGCTCCACGAGGCGGTCTGGGGAAACTCGAGGATACGTTCATGCTGCGGTTTTGGGACCTCGGGGGTTGTACGGCGGGGGCAACGGCGAAGGCGTTCACAGTGACATCATGGGAAAAAAGAGTACGCCAGTTAGTTGGTCGTGCACGTTGCTATGACCATCTCCTTCCTTCCTCAACTCCTGCAACGACCCGTTCGCAGACGCTCGCATGTCTTACTCCAGCCGCGGATTCGGTTCGAACACGGCCCCGCGGATGACAGCAGCAGTACGACGACTGCGCAGCGGATACGAATAATCTATGACAGAGTAGCATTACAGGTCCCAGCAATACGGTGCGCAACGTCTTGTTGGTGTGAAGATGTCGTCTCTCCGACTGGCGCGCGACTCCGGCTCGTTCTCCGGTTCGCATCTCTACGACATCTTGTTCCGACTCTTGCGCTGGATTTGGGCGACAGTGTCGCCGATTAGGATTCCTGTTGTTATCTCGCTAGCTGTGACTCCGACTCCAGCAACATGTGCGGGCGACGGCGTCTCCGACTCTGGCTCCTATCCCCCCGCGTTTCTAGCTCCGACTCCAGCATCAGGTCTGGACTACAACGTCGCCGTCTCCGACTCCGTCACCGATCCCCGCGAGTCCCGCTCCGACTCCAGCACCAGGTCCGATCGGCAGCGTCTCCGACTCCAGCTCCTGTCCGCACGATTCCGGCTCCGACTCCAGCACCACCTGGACGACAGCGTCGCCGTTCCCGACTCCGGCTCTTATCCCCACGACTCCGGCTCTGATTCCAGCACCAAGTTTGGCCGACAGCGTCTTTGGGTTGTTGCTGCTATCCACACGACTCTGGCTCCGACTATTGCACCAGGTCCAGACGACAGTGTCGCCGTCTCTGACTCCGCCTGCACCAGCGCCGACGTCAGCACCGACTCCAGCACCAACGCCGGCGCCTACGTCGGCACCGACGCCAGCGCTTACGCCAGCATTGACACCAGCACAAACGCCGGCGCCTGCGCCGCACAAGCACTGGCACCGACAGTGCCGACGTCGGCACCGACGCCTGCACCAACCTCGGCCCATACACCAGCATCTGAGGTACGCCAAGACGCCATTTACAGTGTGAGGCGCTGTACCCCTTGATTCCCGAGGCGCTGTACCCCTTGAATTCCCGAGGGGCTGTGCCTCCTCGAGTTCCCGAGGCGCTGCACCCCCTTGAATTCCCGACTCTGGGGCATTGCAGGTTTTTCGGCGTGCCAGCGCATCCGCTATCCGCCAGCCCATCCCTCCGACTTCCCACCACCACCACCTGCCAACCTCCAGACACCACCAGCTCCAGCGACTGCACCAGGGCAAAAGCCAACACGGGCGCCAGCTCCTTCCCGTCACATGCGCCAGCTCCGACACCAGCACCATCGCCAAG